GGGGATAATAATAAGTGAAAATCTTTCTCAGGTTTTTTTTCCTTTTATTAATTATTATTATTTTTTATTTTAAAGTGTTTGTTATGTCTTCTAATAATCCTTTTAAAACTGACAAATCTTGTTAATTAGTATTGGAACCAGAAGATGTCCTAAAGCCGAAACCGGTCGTTCCCAATAAAAGGAAAAAGCCTGAGAAAGATTTTCATTTATTATTATCCCCTACTTGTAAATTCGTTTAGAAATTTTGCGAAATTTGTTAATATTGGCCTGCTTGAAAAAGGGTAAACTTGGTCAAAGTCCTTTGATCTGGTTTAAGTGGTCGGCCTTTGTCTACAATCAATCACTTTCGATATGTGACGTTGACACCCCCAAAGTTAACAAACAAACTAGAGAAAAGAGACCCTTGTCGCAATAATGTCGGTTGATTGCATTAAAATTGTTTGGTTCTCATTCTCTGGTGACTGTTACATTTATAGAGATTCCTTTTGGTCAAAATTAATAAGTATTGAATGTTAGCTCACAATGCCGACAATAAGGCTATTTCCCAAGTGAGTGCATTGTATGAACAGACACAGGCAGGTTATATCTTTTGTTGCTGCTCCAAGGCTTCTAATAACTAGTCTCCAATTCATGATTTTTTCTTGTTTATCTAAAATGCTTTGAGTTTACTTTTGAAGAAACTTCTGGGATTAATTGCATGACGCTGAAAGCTTAAAACGAAACTGTGGTATGCCGACATTTTCTCATTTTTATTAACTAATCTCATTATGTGAAGGCAAGTTTAGTTTTTGATTAAAAAAATCCCAATCAATCTGATCCCGTAAAAGCACACACCTTTACGCTTTATAAAAGGTTTTATCCGACAACTTTTCCCATTGTCTGTCTTTTCTCGGCTGTAAAAACTCCATATTACTGTATCTCGGCGAGTAAAAATCTGTTATTGAACTACACTTGAGTTAATTGGTTTGGTACAAGGATTCGGCGGGATTTAAGGCTTCTCTTCCATTAGATATGTGTGATGGGAGGCTTCATAAATTCCGAAATTAGCAATTCAAAGGATCGCGGTTAAACACATTCAACACGCAAGCCGGAAATTGAAGTTGATGTAATTTTAAGAGAGTCTGGACAAGTTTCGATGATCGTGTCCTGCGTCGACCCAATTCCTACCAATCTATATGCGCATACGGATTGCACGGAGATTAATAAGTACAAGGTACAAACTGATTTTCGATTTCCCTCTCAACACTTTCATTAAAATTCTTTCCGAGAGTCCGTTATTTACTCGCAACACTATTAGAAGGATAAATCCCCTCTAGAATGTATAAGCGCGACTACCACCACAGGATATTTATTCCTTTTTCTTGCACACTCGACGATTTGCTTCATACCGGGTGAGTAAACCAAATCTGTACACCAAAGATTTTAATTTAAAAAAATCTTCGATTCAAAAAGTGTCCAGGTTTTTCAGTGTTTCGTTTAGAAAGTAAGTACCGTAAAATTGCAATTGCAGAACTAAAAAAAATTCAAACAGCAATTTTTTTTCTTGCTACTTATGGTACAGAATTTGGAACTAAAATAGGGTTCCGAATGTCTAGTTTACTATAAGGTATAATAGTTATTAGATTATGCAATGAAAAATATTCATTTAAATTTTTTTGTCTCAGATTTTTCATTTTTTAAAAGGCAATAGACACATTTTAAATTTTTATTATAAAACGTAAAACATATTGTTATAAAAATTAAACATGAATTAATATTTCAATAGAGGTAACACATTCTGTATTAACAATAAAAAACATAACGTAAATATTAGAAGTCATTGAAATCTATTTAAAATCTGAATCCTAATCGGGATTCTTGTGGGTTTTCCAACTTCCCCACAATATCATTAAATCCGAATTCGCAGTGATCCTCTGTAATGGGCCATACGTACCAGAATCATTTTTAGTATACAGGGTGTATACGGTCTTGAGGTTGATATTTAAAAGGGATGATATTCATGGTAGAAGAAAAATGATATGCTATATAAAACAAAAATTCACGTTGTGAAAGAAAATAATTCATTTTATATTATTTGTTTGAGAACTGCTGCTTCGGCTGCAACAATGGCCATAACTTGTGTTTCAGCGTAAATCATAATCACGACAACCAATTTATTATTTTAATATTTTATGTTCATAAATTTGGAAACCATTTCGCTGAAAGAGATTAAACAGAAAATCTTTGAATTTTCATAAAAACTAAAGCAAAAGCAAATCAAATGATGACAGTGTCCAAAACTATGAAGTGACTTTTCTCTTTCATTRTTGTGGATACGATTTTGTTATTTGTTGCAACAATATAATTTTATCTGAACTAAGAAATAATTCGAGTGTCCTTCAAACTGTGTACCAATATTTTGGAGTTAAATAACATTTTTAATAATAACAAATGTGTAAGTTTTTTTTAATTACAGTATTTCTGTACTCTTTTATTACTAGGTCGATTTTCAACTTCAAGACTGTAAACACCCTGTATTTGTTTCGCAAGAATGAACCCACAAATTTTTGTTTCATTAATTGTAGGATTTTCCCAATATATTTTTTTTTGAAGTAGTTGTGTGCTAGGGTTGCAAATGTCTAGTTTACGATAAGGTATAATAGTTATTAGATTATGCAATGGACAATATTAATTTTATTTTTTTAGGCTTYGYTCTGATTTACCCACAGATGGCCCAAATCAGAAATTTGATATGTTTTGCAATTAAAACCTTTATAAAATATTCACTTTCAAATCAGAACAAAATATATGAATTTGCAAGCCCAAATTGCGTTTTAAAATTCATTTTTGTCCCAGATTTTTCATTTTTTGAAAGGCAATAGAGTAATAGACACATTTTAAATTTTTATTATAAAATGTAAAAAAATATTCTTAGAAAAACTAAACATGAATTAATATTTCAATAGAGGTAACACATTCTGTATTAACAATAAAAAACATCACGTAAATATTAGAAGTCATTGAAATCTACTTCAAATCTGAATCCCAACCGGGATTCTTGTGGGTTTTCCAACTTGCCCACAATATCATTAAATCCGAATTCACAGTGGTCCTCTGTAATGCCATACGCCCATAATCATTTTTAGTATACAGGGCGCCCCAGAGAAAAATGCCATATAAGGTAAGGTACCAAAAACAGAAATAGTTATTTATTCGACGAGTTGAGTGTAAATCGGACTCTTTATTTGACCGAGTGGATTTTTAAACCACGAGTGTAACGAGTGGTTTACCATCCACGAGGTGGAATAAAGCGTCCGATTTACACTCAAACGAGTGGAATACAACATTTTATTCTTCGAATTAGAGTCAACAAGGCTTAAACTTGCTTTAAATCTGTTAAAAATAATTTGACGTTTTGTATTGAGAAATGCCAAACAGTTGTCAAAACTTCCTTACACGGGAGAAAAACCGTAAATTTTGACAGTGTCGAAGAATAAAATATTTTAAAAACTTTATCTTTAAAAACTTCGAAGTTATGAGGGTTATATTTTGCATTTTGACTTTATTTATTTCAGTTGGAAAAATAATTTTTTTTTTTTTGCTATAGGCTATTTGAAGAGAAAACAAGGAAGCTGTATTCTCAATTGTAACTCTGTTTATTGTTACTTGTGGCTTTGATTGGCCAAATTTTGGAACCTTTACTAAATAATTGTAAAAAAACATATACAAGATCATCAGTATCATTAAATAAACCAAAAAAATGTCAACAAATATCAAAAAATAAATGTCAAATTTTTTAGACAGATAGAATTTTTCAAACATTTTTTCCATGTTCCTGGTATCTTACCTTACTTGAATTTTTTTTCTGGGGTGCGAGTTCTGGCGCACCCTATATTTGTTTCGCAAGAACGAACCCACAAATTTTTGTTTCTTTAATTGTAGGACTTTCCCAATATAATTTTTTTTGATGTAGTTGGGATTTTTAAATGTCGATATCACCGACATGGTTATCCATGTTTTTTTGCTGCCTCTCTGTCGGTCTTACCGTTTTTGACATCTTCCACGGCATTTGCAATATCCTTCTTTGCATATAATTTGTGTGGATTTCTGAACAATTTTAATTTGGAGTAACATTTTCACTTTCACATAAATACTACAGAACACAATGAAGAATACAAGAAAATACTTATTTTTGCGAAGAGAAATTTCAACCCATGTTTTGAAGGCTGTGAAACAGCTGTTGTTTCATGTGATGGTCTAAACAGGATAGTCAATAGTTAGTTCTGCACGTAAAAGAAAACCATAGAATTTTATCTTTCATCCAAAAAATATGCAGAACTTTAAATTAAAAAACAAAGCTTTGTTCTGATTTAGACGAGTTCTCTGATTTAGGCCATTTTACGGTAAAATTGGTATCAGAACCTTTTTAGGTTTTAAAAATTATACAATTTTTGTTCTTTTAAAAGAGTATTCTTAACATCATCGTTTTCGTGTTTACTTTTCTCAAAGGTGTTAACCTTTGACTCCAACTTATTATAACAAGACATATTGATAACAAGACGAAAAGTGATTTTTAAGTGCCGTTCCTCGTCGTTATTTATTCATTAGTGAGTGGCTGAAATCTGGATAAGCGACGGGATTGTCGCGACAACATCTTACAAGTTTTTTACGAGCCTGCTAAAACGATTAGCTTATATATTTACAAAAGCCGAATTAAAATTGAAATCGCCCTCCAAGTGCACCCTTAATTAAACTAATGGAAGAACGGGTTAAAAAACATAAACCCCAACAATCAAAAACTCCAAACTATAAATCTGATTAGGGCGCTTTTAATTACAAAAGGTTAATTAAAAGTTTTATTTATGAAAAAGTACAAGAGACACGTCCTGACAACTTGAAACGGGAAATGATTAGGGATGATTCCGGGGCGCAATTTGCGACGGCTTTGGGCACGAGAACTTATATCGGTAAATTATTTAATAAAGTTGGGTCACAAGCTCGTAATATCCGCAAAACGACTGTTTGTTAAGACCACTTTATTGGTAAGACCACAAAGACAGTTACATTGGGCTATCATAATTTGGAATTTCTTCAATATCATCTTTCACGTTACAAAGACAGTCGGGGTTGTCACACTGGTGACTATCATGGTGCATCTCGTGACCCTCCTTGTGGTCATCAGGATATACGATATCTGTAATAGATTAGTGCATTAGCAAAAATTTTGACACTTTAATGACAGTCAAACCTTTTCTCAATTCCTCGTCGATTCTTCTTGGCTCGTTCTCATAACTGGCATGAAAACTACGAGATTTCCTTCGTCTCCTCCTGCGCTTTTTCCCCGCTTTCCTTCTTCGCCTTCTTGTTTCACGAACTGGGAAATGGGAATCCGTGTCGTAGCTAACGCCTCGATATCTATGTGTTCTTCCTACGTCTGATTCACTGAGAAACGGTTGAGCACACGGAGTGATTGAGTGTTTCCTCTGTCTTCGTCTTCGGCGTCTCCTCCTCTGTGCTTGAAGCCGTTTCCTTCGGCGGCATTCCATGCAGTCTTTATTAGGATTTAATATCTCCGTGTTGATTCTAAATTTGCCAGCACGCTGCTTGACGATGCCATTACTCGCGGCGTGGTTAAGGGCTCGCTTAACTTGTGTGGATAAATTCCTAACTGTATTGCACGACCTAAGGTTGCGTAAGGACGATTTAACATGACTAACTATTTTCGTGGAGTTGGATCCCCCGTTTTCTTTAAGTTCGTATATGGCTTGCAACACTTCTGGAAGAAATCGTGGCGGTCGAACGGGTCTTTTCATACTTAGTTTAGAATTTTATAATCACATAAACACAAGAAAACAATTTTGATTTGGTTCATCTAAAGCACTAATTGAAAAAAGGCCAAAGCGGATTTTGTGACTTACCGAAATTTAGACTATTTGTTAGTAAACAAATGTGTTGTCAGGACAGTATCGATGCCACGCCTTGTCGATTTTGCTACAAAGGACATAATAGGATGTTGTTCGTCATCGGGTGGGAGTAATTGGATCAAGCACGGAGTCCGTGTTGAAAGTGGATAAGTAGATTTTCCTAATTTCCCCTCGCATTTATCTCTTTTTCCGAGTGAACTGTGTAGTGTTGCATGGATTAAAATTGACGTTTCCGATTATGCGCAAATCTCAATTTTAATCAGCACCTTTGACAATCTTAACTCGTTAGGACTCGCTTTGGGGGCACGATGTTTGGTTAGCGTTTTTGCGTCGAAAAATCGAGAGATGAGTACCGAGTTTTGTGGAAACGCGATTTCCTAGAACCGAATCACTTTCTGAGCTTATTTACGTCACACCTCTTACATTCGCTCCCAAAGCAAATCCCGTTTGTTGCGAACGGATTAAATCTTAAACCGCTCTCTGACGAAGCTTTTAAAAACGCTAAACATGTCTTGAATGCAATCGAGGTAGGCCAACACAAATTATTTGCTTTCTACAGAGACTTAAGACTTTAATACTATACAACTGATCTCTCAAGTTGTCTTCCTAACACTAAAAAAACGAATTCGCGGAAATTACTCTTTTTTTAGTATTTCACTAGACAACACGGTTTTTGCTTCTTGTAAAATGTTACTTAATTCTATTTTTTTTTCTGATCACTTCTTTCTCTTGTATCACCTACATTTTTTATCATTATTTTTTAAATCAAATTAGAATTCTTTATACAAAAATACGTTTAACTTGACCGTTTATCAAATAAAAAAAAGTTTGTTTTATTTATTTGTATATATTTCGAGTAAATACGAAAAGTGTTCTTCTCTTTCTTTAATTCATCAGTTAAATGTTGTAAAATGTCTAACTTTTTGTTTTTAAATTCTGCAAACTTATTCTGTTAAATGTACGGCCAATTTACACTTAAATTTTAAAATAGTATATTCTGTAACAAGTTTTATAATATGGCATATTCGCACAAGTGGAAAAATTCGTCTCACGAGCCGAAGGCAATAGCGGAATATGCTATTCTTTCAAAACGAATTTCAGACTATACTAAAATTTAGAAAGTATTATTTTACAAATTTACTTGTGACTATTCCAACACTAATGTAAAAATATTCTTGCACAATTTAAAAAAATATGAGTATTCTGTAATTAAAAATCAACCAAGAAGATTGTTATTATGCAGTATGTCCCCGGATTGAGTTTACAAGAGGAAAGAATGTTTATCTTTGATTTTACGGCAAAACTGCAAAGGAGAAACATTTATTGCTTTACATGAAATGAGCAAATCTGCGATTAAAATTTTGTTATTCTGATTCAGTACAAAAAAGTTTATTTTTCTCTTGATTTTTGACTATCACATTGGCGTTTTTATCTATTTGACAACTTTGATAATTAACTCATTAATTGAATAATGGTAGTTCTTGTTAAAAATAACTTTGGTTTTTATGTTAGTTGCTATTTATTAAAATTATGTTTTTCACCAAAAATTTTTTGTAACATTGTTGTCAAAAAATTAAAACGCCAATGTGGTGAAATTTAAAAGGCAGAGAAAATTTATTACAAGTCCAAGATCAAGAAAAAAATGAACTTTTCTTTCCACTGAGTCAGAATATTGAAGTTTTAATTACAGATTTGCTCGTTTCCAGTGAAGCATACACTCCCAAAAATAAAAACAGTGCAAACGTAAAACTTCATCACGTAAATATTGTTAAAGTATTTGTAATTATTAAAATATTAAAAATGTCAAAAGATGTTTTATGTTATTTTAATAAACTTACGTGATACAACCAAAGGGGTCATATTCACATTTAGCAGACTCTGTTTTGTTATAAAAACCACTTTTCATTTAAAGAACATAAAAAAAGTTTTAAATTTGTAATGTAGTGTTTTTTATAACCGATTACGTGGTATTTCGACAAAATTGAACAAAATCATTAACTTCAGCTGCTTAGGGTAATTCGCTCTAAATATCTTAAATTGTGGAGCACATAAAATCCGGAACACATTTTCTAAGCACCACTTTAGTTTTCTTGTAAATTGCAAATAAATGCAGTGATTCTTTAAGTTAAGTGCAACTTGTAATTATTAAGTGCAAAAAATAATTACTGTTATTAAAAGACACTCCTATTATTTAATGAATTAGACATAATCTTCTTTTACAACTTATTTGTGTAGCTTATAGAATTTTCACTTAGATATTTTTAAACGTCTACCCGGTTTGGGAATCATTTTACGACTGTTATGCTAATATACTCGTTGTAATTCGAGAAATAATGAAGATTAATAATCTCAATTAAAAGTATTTGTTTGCTTCCCACTGCTTTTAAAACGGTAGACAACTCTCAGAACACTCTTTGAATTTAATTTAGAGTTCAATTTTTAAAATTGCCCATATTTATGATTATATTAATTTTAACAAGCGTACTATTCGATATTCAAATCCAAACAATACATTAGAGTCGCTGTAATGCAGCATTTTGAGGTTTTAAAAGTTAAGTAAGATTTAAAAGTCAAAGACAATGATTGGGCCCCTCTGTGACTTGTCTAAGAAGTTTTCTAAAACTGTAAAAATTCTAAATAATTAAGAATTGTTCCGTAAAATTTTTTTTTGCACATTTTGAGTAATTTTAGTAACTATTTTTCTTTGCTTTTGTTAATATTTAAGGATCTAAAAAATTGATTCTTTGTATTTTTTTAGTCAATTAAATGGTTCAGTTTCAATATTTGTTGCTTTTCTAATGTTACTAAATATTCATTCAGCAAATAGGCTATACAAAAAAAATAGTTAAACCAAAAATTATTGCTTATGTCATCAAAAGAGCACAATTACGTCTTTGAACACAAAAAATCTGAAAAACTTGGAACTTCAAAGGATTACAACAAGTAAAACGGTTAATTATTGGAAGCTTCTATGAGCTTATTTTGACGTTTTGGCACATTCGGCCTACTTAATACGAACATTTATTGAAATCGAAAAATTTATATCTCTCACGTCTCAAGAATTAAAATTATGGAAAATGTGGTACATAATTCAGAAAAAAATGAGCAATAATCTGTCGCACATCACAGTTCAGTATAAAAATAAGAAAAAAACAGTGCCTACGTCTTTTGAGTATCACATTTAGAAGACAAAACTAGAAATGTTATTAAATTAAATTACAATGATCTACAAAGTTTTTTCTTTAAGCCAAACAAAAATTCATTGAAATCCGACGAAGAATAACAAGAATACTATAATGTAAAAAATTGCAAAATTTTAGTTATCCGCTTAATTTTGGCGGCCAATGTATTTTTCTAGAAAAAAGATTCACGTTTTTTTACTGTTAAAATTCGCAATCCTATACAAATTTAAAAAAAATTGTTGTGCTGGACAAAAATAAATTTTCAATCACTAGGATTCCTATGAGTTATGACAAAGTATTTGTATTGTCTATCGTCTGCAGAATTAAATTGACTCTGAAACTTCCGAATGCCATCCCTCAGCAAAATTCCATCCGAAAATAATTCTTTGTTTCAGTTTGAGGATGAAGCGGTTTCAGCTTTGGCTGACCGTTTCGTTACTAACCAAGTTTGAAACCGGCTCAGGTGTGTCCCTCAAACAATCTTCACGAGCACCACAAATGAACAATCACCAGAACATCTCGACGCTTTTAGATAATCTCCTCAGAGGTTACGACAATAGCGTTCGTCCTGATTTCGGCGGTATGACCACACAAAACAATTCATGCGTGTTATCATTGCATTTTAGGCCCTCCTGCTGTCGTCGAAGTCGATATTATGGTGCGAAGCATGGGCCCCATCTCGGAAGTCGACATGGTAAGCAGGGTGGGGCGCGTAAACTACACAGGTTGTTTACATGAAAACAACATCATTGTTTACTTATCACTAAAATCTGTAAAGAACGTAAACAACGTAAACAATACAAAATGTATGATTTTTTATTCACAATCACTAATGTAATATGCCGATTACTGACCTTTTAAACGTTGGGAAACACATCATTAAATCTCATGAGGAGTAATAATATTACTCCTGAGTGCAGAAAAAAACGCAAATTGATTTTTTATAATGTAATTTGGCCTGTTAATAAATCACAATTCACAATTTCATAATTTTCTGGCATCTTCCAAACTTCTATTAAGTTTTTCCATGTTTTTCCATTTCGTTTTTAACACTGACTATGGCAACACCACCAAATAATAAGATAGTTTTCTTTTTCACACCATGTAAATCTCTGAAAATTTTGACAATTTTGATTTTGACAATTTGCGATTTTTTGCACTCAAGTGTACTTCTCTTGGGCGGTAATATGCAGGATAGCCAACCTTAAAATTACAAAAATACCGGGAATTTTTTCTTTCAAACAGTCAAGTTATGCATAATATTTTGTTAAATTAGTATTCAATTGCTTTTGTAGCAATTTCTCTTACTTCTGGGGAGTACACTGTTCCATTTCGACGATTTTAAATCAGATTCACACATTATTTCAATATTTTCTTTGACATTTCTGAAATGTCAAAAATTAAACCCCATTTGGATGGCCTACCACGTTTGGACCTTAACTTTGCTTGAATTTCATTTTACTCAAATTTTTGACTGAAAATAATGTGATTGATAAAATAGCATTCGAACCTCGGTGGTAATAGCATATTTACCACCTCGCTTGTAATGTACAAATTTTTAACTTGATGTTCTTCATGTTTCTTCTTGGTAATATTTTTGCTTTTTTAAAAGAATTCCTAGTTTCCTTGTCACTATAACTACTTGTTTTAAGTTTTTTACACTGTTTTAATTTCGATATTAAGACTACATAGGTATTGATTCGTACCACGGTGTAAGATATTTAGGTGATGCAGTGAGCCCTGCAAACGTGTGGCCAAACCGATCACACAGTTGTATAAATGATAATAGTTATAATTTTTTTTAATACAAGTTTATATAAAAAATACACGTCATATACCTACTACCTATACATATGAATTTAAATTCTAAAAGAAATATTATTTAAATGATAAAGCTTTGCTTGAACTTATTTTTATTACATGTGTTTCTGTTGCGAAATGTAAAGAAATACATATTGAATTTTACTTGAAAACAGTTATTACATAAAATAATTAGTAAATTAGTAAGTATATTAAATAATTGAATAAATTAGTACTTCATTAAAAATAATTCGTTTTAAATTTTATGAAATTAATTTTATGAAACGTATTATCGAAGACAAAGATTTTTCAAGAACATTTTTCGTAGGAGCATAATATTCTAAGGGCCAGTTGCATAATCGAATTTAAAAGAGCATTAAATTAAATGTTGTTTAGAACGTGCTAATTACACGGACTCCTTGAGCAAAATTTCACATTCTAAACCAACATTGACTTTAAAGTCTCTTTAATTCGGTCATGAAACTTAATTAAAAATTATTACGAATTGTAAAACTGCAATAACAAACCATCAATTTATCAAAAATTTGTTGTTATTAATTAATTCAGTTTTTGGACTGGTTTATTTTTGTATCCAGAGAAAAATTAATTCAGAGAGATCAAATATATAAAGTACACACCTTGCGTCGATTACTACTTTTTAAATAACGTTACTTTGATTTGAACTGAACTTTATTTTATAATTATTGAAATCACATTAATTATCACCATTCGGAATTGAATGTAAAGACCACAGACTAGAAGGTAAATAAATAAATAGAAGGTAATAAACCTTTATTCTTATTTCAAATAAATTTTGTTTGTTATTCAGTTCAGCTATATTTGATTCCTCTACTAAAATAAATAAGTAAATTATTATTATTTATTGATAATAGTTATTAAAAACAGAAATCGAAAAAAATGTAAATTTAGAGTTGTTTTTTCAATTCTTTTTGCTTTTCTGATTCGTTTAACTTGTGGTTCAAATTTAACAATATTCTGGACAATCTGGAACAATAGTACTGCTTCTTCTTCTAATCTTCTAATCTTTTTGAGATCAAATTTGACAAAATTTGCTGTTTCAATCTAGAAAAAATATGTTTTATGGTGGTTATAATTTTAATTATTTTTCTTTAGATTTACCGTATAACAGCCAGTTTTTATTTCACGAATTATATGTTTTGCTTTAAAATGTTTTCTACACACATGATCCTTTACAGCGAAAATACGGAATTTTTGGAATTATATGATTAGACAACTTTTTCCGTGGTAGGTATCGGAAATAAAGATAATTTTTCATTATTATCAACGCAGTGCATGCGCTCGCTGCATCACCTAAATATCTAACACTATGATTCGTACATAATTTGAAAGATGAAATTTTGAATAAGCAATCCGTGAGATTTTAAACGTCCCTCAGGGGAATTTTTTAAAAATGTATTGTATTTTAAACATAATGCAGAATAGTTATTCTTGTTTGTGCTTAAAAGTGCTTAAAATGACAGCTGACTGGATAAGGCATTTTCGACTTGACTTCTTTCAAATTTTTTTTCTTTAAGCACAGTGAGATAATTAATTCTACATTCTGATTTATTCCTCATTTGCACTAGAATGCTTATAAAACTGTCAAATTATTTAATCAACATCTTACTTATCCTCAAAATAATAGTTCTTTACATTGTTTACGTTGTATATTCTTTAGGCGTAAACGTAAAAAATAACACAGGCCGACAAAAAAAATCATGTCGTGACAACTTGACAAATTTTATATCATTTTGTTGGTCTCAGTAAGACAAATCAAATGCACTAACAAAATTTCAAAAAGTCCACACACTTTGCACTAAATAATTTTTTTCTAATTTAAATGAATTTAAAATACTTGAACTTTAAAAAATCATTACTCAATAACTATTAAGCCGATTTCCTTCAAATAAAAGCCATTCTAAATAGATGGACTTGACAATTTAAAATTTAATATTGGCAAACTTTTCAGTTTGCAGTTCAAAGCAAATGAAAGTTATCTAAGAAAAACCCTACGAGTAATTTTTTTTTCTTCGTCACCATCGTGTAGAGCATCTTTAAGATATGATTTTTTGAAGTTAAGGTTTGCTAATCAAGCATTGCGCCAAATAAGAGAAATGCATGTTAAAAAGTATTTGTTTTAAGACTCTTCTTTTGCTTAAAAATGGCCAATTGCACCTTCTTTGTTCTAATTAGAATAAACAAAAACTGTTTCTTTACTTAAAACAAACAAAGAGTACCAGCGTACTAATTAAAGCAAATAAAGAGATTTTTTGTTCTAAAAATGATCACTGATCATTGAGCAAAAAGGATCTAGAAGTTTAAGGCAGTAGCTTTTTTCAAATTAAATCACTTTCCATTCGATTCTAAATATCTGATTTCTGAACATTTTTTTGAAAAAGTTTTCAGCAAATGCTTTCTCATCACTTTCTACTGATGTTGAATGCAATAAGTCAGTTGCTTTGTGTGCAACTGTTATCACAACAACTACTACCTACAAGCTAACTGAAGCTAATCGTTGAATGTCCCAACAAAATAAATCAGGTGACTTTTTGCATTTAACATCACTCGAAAGTGATGAGAAAGCATTTGCTTAGAACATTTTCAAAAAAAGTTCGGAAAGCTAGAGCAAAGTGAACAAGTCGAAATCTGAATGGAAAGTGATTTGATTTGAAAAAGATTTGCCCTTATATTTAAGGCTTGTGCCTTAAACTTCTACATCCTCTTTCCTCAATGATCAGTGGTCATTTTTACAACAAAAAAACTCTTTATTTGCTTTAATTAGTACGCAGGAACTCTTTATTTGTTTTAAGTAAACAAACAGTTTTTGTTTATTCTAATTAGAACAAAGAAGGTGCAATTGTCCATTTTTAAGCAAAAGAAGAAAAACAAATACTTTTATAAAAATGCAATTTTAAGTAAGATTAACATGCATTTCTCCTATTTGGCGCAATGCTTGATAAGCAAACCTTAACTTCAAAAAATCATATCTTGAAAACTACTCGGTATATTCTTTAAAAAATTTTGATGACAACTAATAAAGAGATGCTCTACACGATGGTAATGATAAAAAATACTCGTAGGGTTTTCTTAGATTATTTCGATTTACTTCGAACTTCTTCGAACACTGTTCTAAGAAAAGTTCGCCAATATTAAATTTCAAATTGCATATCATTCTAAAGGGCAAGTCAATCCCTTTAAAATGACTTTTATTTGAAGGAAATTGGCCTAATAGCTGTTGAGTAATGATTTTTTGAAGTTAAAGTATTTTAAATTTTAAATTTGTCAAGTTATCACGACATGATTTTTTTGTCGCCCTGTGTAAAACTAAATGCCCAACCCTGAGGTAAGCACTGTTTTAATTTCTGAAAGCTGCTGTGTTTACGCCTTGTGTGTTGGATCTTGGCCAAAACCCGTATTGCAATGTTAATCCGCGATTTTAATCGCACGACTTGTTGATTTTAGACGTATTCAATGGATTGCTACTTCCGGCAGTCGTGGGTTGATAGACGATTAGCCTTCCCAGGGGACACCAACGATACTCTGGCCCTTAGTATATCGATGCTTGCAAGGATTTGGAAGCCAGATACTTATTTCTACAATGGGAAGCAGTCGTATTTGCACACCATAACAACTCCCAACAAGTTCGTCAGACTGTATCAAGACGGGAGGGTGCTTTACTCGTCGAGGTGAGTTTTTTAAAGACACACCCAGTCAATCAGTGCATTCTAAGACAAAGTTTAATTAAGCTCGTCCGTGGCACGGCAAAGCTTTTCACATTTGCATAGTTTACTGAAGGATCGGAGATTACGTGCCATTGAGTTAATTTACTAATATTAATTGGCTGCGATTAACCGCCGTTCCGGTTCGATCGGTAAACTCGCTCCTCTCTTGCTCGAATCTTTAAACAAATTAAGACAGCACAAAACTTGGGGCAATGCAAATAAAAATGGTGGATGCGCCGGGAACATGTTCAAAATCAAACATAAAACTTATTGTTTTTCAGTTTAGGTCAGTTTTCAATTTTAATAATTGTCGATAATTTTAATTTAGAATCAATTTGGCATGCACAAGGGGAATTTGGAAACAATATTTTCATTATGAGACATTAAACAAAAATCACACCGGTCAGCATATGAGTTTTTTGAATATTTTTGATAAATTTGAATTGCGCAGTAAGTTTTGAACTTCAAAGCATCATTCTTTTGTGTCGATTACAACAAATCTGTTTTATTTAGTCAGCTCTCAGTTTCGCGTATTACTTATAACAAAATTTGATTTAAATTAAAGGTATCTTTAATTATATCAAAAATGTTAAATAGAATATGTGAAATCAATCTCAATTTGTTTTGTTATAATTGTAAAAGGTTTTCTACAAAAAAACAAATATACAAAATCAATTACATTTTTTTTTATTTATTTAATTTGTTTCTTTATTCTACGTGAAAGAATTCATCCATAAGCAGAACTATACAGGTGAGCCACAGAGAAAATTTTCAAATAAGGTAAGATTCCAGGAACATGGAAACAATATTTAAGAAATTCTCCTTGTTTCCTTTTTTAACAGGTTATAGTAAAAAACTTGAAAAATAATTTTTCCAACAGAAATAAACAGTCAAACTGCAAAATTTAAATCCTCATAATTTCGAAATTTTTATAAATAATTTTTTTTAACATATTTTACATGTTCCGGATATCTTAACTTATATGGCATTTTTCTCTGGGAGCAAGTTCTGGCGCAGCCTGTTCTTTTCAAATCACGTAAAACAAGTCTGAAAAAGTTTCAATTTGCGAATCGGTGTAATTCATGTCTAAACATACAGGGTGAATATAAAGTATGGAACCAAGCGGTTTTATTTTTAATCATTTGCCTCCGGAAAATAATAATTAATATAAATTAAAGTAGTATAAAAAAATGTGATCGTAATTTCAGAACGAAATTTTGTTTTGTTTTTGAGTTATGCGATTTTTTTTGTCAAAATTGCAATTTATGTGAAAAAATTTTTTTGAAAAAATTAAAAATAAAGCAGATAGTTGTAATCCTTTTTATTCACCTGGTATGTCAAATCATATGTCAATCAAATCTTTTAAATTTTTGAAATTCATCCAATTAGATTCGCGGTAATTTACCTTACAGGTAAATACACCGAGCGATATTTAAAAAAAAATTGAGAGGTGTGTTAATTTTAAAAGTTGTTTCTTTTTATTTCATGTGTCCTGAATTCAGAGATATCCCATCTTCCTATCACATCTAGTTTTTTTACACAATTTAAAATTTCATTATAAATTTTTCAAAATTAAATGGTTTAAAAATCCACTCAGTGAAATAAATCATCCGACTTACACTCAAATTTGTAAAATAAATAACTATTTTTTAAACAAATATTTATATTACCCTTATTCCGAGTGATATCTTTTGCATTTGTCCAAAAAAATACGTCTGAGAGTAATTTGTTTTTGAATTGACTTTTAATTGATAAAACAATTGATTGTTGGTTTTTAAGTTTTGGTCAGTACTCAAGTAAACACACAAAGAATTTGAACAAACAAAAAGACACATTTTTTTCTTAATTTTTTCAATCAATCAATCTATTTAGTATAAAATGAGCGATTTTGTTTTTATTTAATACGACAGAGTTTAAATAAGCCAATAAATTATTGACGATAAGATATCTGGCGCTGAAACAGTTGTAACGAAATTTGGCTCAGTTTAGTGCTAACCGAAAACGTGAAAAATTGTCTGCTATACATTACAGTCGTCCAAATGGTACTTTATCGAATTCATCTCACGTTCCATAAATCCTAAGATGGTGCTCAACGTAACATTTTCACATAGAAGCGTGTGTGTAGGTCGAAAATGCAATAAATTTCAATTCGTGAAAATCCTTCATATTCACGTGTTAGATTTTATTAGTTGTAACAAAGGTTAGAAACAAATAATTCAAACATCATAATAGAATACGACAGCAATTTAGATAAAACCGCTGAAACCGCTGCAGACGATCCTAAATTTCATTAAAGTTATCTTCGTTCCTATATATTTTCGTGTATTTGTCCAGAAATGTCAACATCTAACGCTGAGAGGAGATATTTGTTTTCCAAACGAACTCAACTCATCACTTGTACTCTATGTTATGGATGAATTAACCTAACATGCAGAAGTCCTGAACTCGATGTGCTTTTGTCGTGAAATTTTAATCACCATTGATCTGGATACACACAATGTCAAAACCACGGCAGTTTGCAAGTTTTATTTATTGAAACTCAGTCATATTTTCAAGCAGTTCTCGCACATTTGATCCATTGCAGTGGAAAATAATTTCTATTACAACTTTGGAATTTCAATTTTTTTATGTCACCTGCAATGCTTCAACTCAAAAACTGCGTTTAACAATGTAGCTATACATATTCTTTGTAAAAATAAAATTATTGAATCTTCTTATAGCCCTCAATTGGACATAGAATTAAATAAAATAGTTACAATTTGTTTCGACTTTTCTCCTTGTTGTTGTTTGGAACTTTGCCCACTGTTATGACGAGATTTTTCACTACTCAACTAGAACGGATTTTAATGGAGCAATTATTAATTTGTACAGGGTGCTGTATTTTAGATGTCCGAATAGGGAATCTCCGAAACTAACATGTTTATCCAAAAACGAGTGACACATTCTGGGGCTCATTTTTTAAGAAAATAATATTGGTTAAAACCGCATCCCGCTATCGTCTTTTGTTTTCGACTTACAGACAAAAGTTTACATTTTGGCGAAATCTAAAAAAATTCATATCTTCGTTATTATAGAAAATACGGATTTGAAATAAAGACATTATATAGGCACTTTTTTACGAGGACTTTAGTAATGTAGTTAACTATTTTTTTCAGTTTTTGTTTAGCCTAAATAAGATAAACTTTTATTTTTTAAATAGAAAAAATATATTGTAATTGGGAAATATACAGGCTGTCCCAGAGCTTCGTATTTCTTCGATTACTCGGACAATAAAGAAGATAACGAAATGCGGTTTCTTTTGGACGATAGACATTCATTTTTTTCTATGGTCCAAAAATATTTTCATCATTATAGGCAAATTTTATAGAGGGTGGCGCAACAAAGTTATATTATTTCTTATGGAACACCCAGTATATTATGCGCTTATTTGAAAGAGTTTTTAATTTTATAAATATTCATATTAGGTTTTATGGGTCTATCAATGACCGTTTATCATTTATGGGCAATTTTATGAAAAAAATAGTACCATTTTTGAAAAATCACAACGGCTTTGCTAGAAAGAAAAAATGAATAAAAACAATAGCAACTATTTTTACTGAGTCTGTTCCTAAATTATTATGGTTGAAATTCGATAAATTTTTTGCAACTGCTGCAGAGTGTTGACATTTGCAAAATATCAAGTAACTTGATTTTTTCAAATAAAACACCCTGTATGTTATTACTTTATCGTGTAGAACTTTTAATAAGTTTTCTAAAAAACCTAGGATTTGGTGGTCTAAACTTTACCTGTTTTAATGTACACCTTTTTAAACCTACAGAATTTTAAATTATTCTATTTAGCGCTAAAAATCACGTAGGTTTGCGTTACCTCCTCCTCTAAAAAAATGGGAATTTTTTTAATGAAATCTGTAAATAATAATCAATAAAAGTTTTGTGAACTGTAAAATAGATGAAAAAATAAATGAAATTATAAAAATGTAAAAAATACGATACGTTAGAAGTATTCAACAAACATGCGAGCGCCTCAGAACAAAATTTTGCATTTTTTTTTCATTACTTAGTGCTTAGAAAACTCTTTCATTAGTGACACTGGTTAAATAATCTAGTTTAAATCCTTTTAGTTGAAAATGCAACATTATTTCATGGCCAACTGCGAACAAAAATCAAAGATAATTTTTTGCTAAAAATGTATTATAATAATTTGTTACAAATATATATTTTTTAGATAAGAAAAAAACAAGCTTTTTAAAAATGACAGCCATCTATGGTTCCCATTTAAAAAAGTACAAATTTATTTTATTACGACTAATCAAACAACTGAAAAAAATGTTAACTACATTATTAAATTCTACGTAAAAAAGTGCCTGTATAATGTCTTTACTTCAAATCTGTGTCTTCTATAATAACGAAGATATTAATTTTTTTAGATTTCGCTAAAATGTCAATTATTGTCTATAAGTCGAAAACTAAAGACGATAACTGGATGCGGTTTTAACCAATATTATTTTCGCAAAAAATTAGCTCCAAAATGTATTACTCGTTTTTGGTTAAACCTCTTAGTTTCGGAGATTCCCTATTCGGACATCCAAAATGCAGCACCCTGTACAATTAAGCATATTATGTAAAAAGTTCAAGTAAATAGAGTTAAATTTGCCTAACTGTTTGTTGTAATAAAAGATATGAAAGCGTCTTGGCGGAGTTAAATCTTGTTGGAACAGACGCGAATATAGAATTATTCCGGTAATTGTAATTAAATCGAGGCAAATTTTGTGATACGTCGCAAGCACCGGAACGTTCGAATAATGAAAGAAATGGTAATAGAGTTGTGCAAGTGATTATGTCAATTAAGAAAATTAGGAGCAAAAGTTTGTCGGTGATCAAGCCGTTTGTCTGAAATCCTAACTTATAATAAGATTTACACACAATAACACAATTTGCAAAATTAATTCCGTCCCGATTTTTCATTGCATAATTGAATAATTTTTTGCCGTCCACCCGTACTAGCTCGATAATTGCAAATTACATATTCGTAGCCGTGAATTAGCAAACAGGCTGTTCATAATTGATTTTGTCTTTCAGATTGACGATTAAAGCCGGATGTCCCATGAATCTGGAGGATTTTCCGATGGATATCCAGAGATGTCCGTTGAAATTCGGATCGTGTAAGTACCGCAATATATGGCTGTTGATGGGCGATAGAAATAAATGAAAACAAGGGTAGCATGTGGCAAAACCTCTAAGATAGACACCACAATTTATGCCCAAGGGGATCAAGCGCCCTCTCGGAGTAGGTCATTGTGGCTTGATTAATGCCCACACCTGTCATCGCCTTTGCTACTTGTTACTTTGCCCTCCTATTATAACGGAAAATTTTCAATTAGACCACCCCTATCACCCGTTTGACTTTTAAGGGCGCAAATTACGTCGGCCTTTGATGCTCATGACAAGCTTATTATTGTTTAATAAATACAATACATTTCATTCACAATTTAATAACTTTAATGACGCTACGGATTCACAAAATTACGAATTAAATCACCTCGTTTGTCTGATTTCGACATTTGATAATTGTGTCCAATTTGGATGTTACCAAATCCTCGAAAAATTTATATGAGTTTTTGCTTAAACCCCTTATATCCACAATAATGCCCTTTGGTTCTAAAGACAGATACATCTCAACGTTTAATTCCGGGTAGGAAATGGTGTTTCAGCATTCAACAGGTGGCGACAAACGCCTTTTTGCGATAAGTTCATCACGATTTGTTTAACGCACAGTTAGGTAAAAATCATTTATCTTGAAATTTTAGACTTTTCTGTATAGACAATCAAAAATTATGAAAAATAAGTTGATGTATAATAATGTAATGTTAAATCGATCGAGTCATAGAAACAAAAAAAAAAAGTAAAAGTTCATAAAATATATTAAGAATTACATTACATTGAAGTTACAATTTTTGTCATTTTAAACGTGGACTGTCAAAAAACGCAGTAATCTTTAAAAAAGCAAAGTTTTAGCACAGCGTCTACTCGTACACATATGTCTGCTCAAAAAATCAGACATTTTTAGATATTTTAAAGAAAATAACTTTGAACTCTCAGAACATCTTGATTAGTAAACATTTGCCTCTTTAACGCTTGCTATTCTTTTAAAAACTGCCCTAAAAATCTTCAGAAAAAGATGTTTTGCGCACTGAAAAAATCAACCAGTCGTAGTAGAAAGTTAAGATAAAGAGGTAAGCCCTCGTTTTTTGATTATTAATAAAGAAATAATTAGATTTTATGTTTTCTCTTAGACGTACATATCAATATTATTAGTAAGGCTCGGATTATATGCAAAATGCATATTTGTTATTAAGAGGTATATCAACAAAATTGTAAGTTTTCTATGCATATCTAATGTTTTTTGATTAAAATAAGCCAATTAAAAAATGCATATTTTGACAACTTTGTGCACATTTTAGGAAATATTGCATATTGTGAAAATTTTCTTTAAATCACAAATTTCCGATTAAAAATTTTAATTCAGATTAAAAATTGGACAGTTTAAAAAAAATGTTCGGATTAAAAATATGTTAAAGAGAAAACTATCGATAATTCGTAAGACGGACTCAAAGAATTAGTATCCTGCTGAGTGTTTTTTAAATTCGTTTTATACAGGGTGAATATACAGGGTGCGCCAGAACTCGCGCCCCAGAGAAAATTTTCAAATAAGGTAAGATACCAGGAACATGAAAAAAATGTTTAAAAAATTCTATCTGTCAAAAAATTTTGACATTTATTTTTTGACATTTGACATTTTTTTATATCTATTTAATAATACTGATGATCTTGTATATGTTTTTTTACAATTATTTAGTAAAGGGACAAAAATTTTGACAATAAAAGCCACAAATAACATTAAACAGAGATACAATTTAGGATACAGCTTCCTTGTTTTCTCTTCTAATAGCCTATAGCAATATATGGCATTTTTCTCTGGGGCGCGAGTTCTGGCGCACCCTGTATTATAAAGGATGGAACCAAATGTTTTTTTTTAAATCATTTACTTTCAGAAAATAATAATTAATACCAATAAATTAAAGTAATATAAAAAAATGTAATCGTATTTTGAGAACAATATTTGTTTTGTTCTTGAGTTATACGATATTTTCTGTGAAAATTAAAATTTATGTAAAAAAAATTTTTGACAAAATTTAATATAAAGTAGATAGTTGAAATCTTTAGATCATAACCTCCATTAGAAAAATAGTTTTTTTAGTGGGTTGCCATTAAAAAAAATAATATTTTTGTAGAACTCAAAAACAAAAAAAAATAAAAAATTCGAAAAATCACATTTTGTAGTACTTTATTCATCAATTAGTTTTTCAAAGAAAATTAATAGTTTAAGCAAAAAACGTGGTTCCATACTTTTTATTCACCTGGTATAATAGTTCCATTCGGATAAGTAGTAGCCTGCAAATGAATTTTAGCAAAATTGTTTAAAGTGATGTGATATGAAAATTACAGATTTCTTAAAAAGGCTTAATGGCTTGTTTGAGGCAAAACCAATTTATTTATTCTCTTTCGTTCATCGTGTGCAATTCAAAATACCGAAAATACAAAGTTTATTGTCCTAAAGGATAAAGATTTATCCCAACTTTTTTATTGTTAAAAGTTTTGCATATCGATGCATATTTGGCATATATTGCAGCATATTTCTTAATATCTTGTGCATATTTTTGTGAAAATTCATGCATATACATGCGCATATTTTACGGATTTTTTGTGCATATAATGCGAGCCTTAATTATTAGTCATGTTAAAAACTGGTGTTATGATTATTTGCACATATGCGAATATAAAAGAAGAATCTAATATAAAATTTTCCATTTTTGTCAGCTCAATGTGGTTTAGGAATTATGAAAGATTCAACGGTTAAAATAGAAAAAACAAGTTACAAAGTTTGATATATCAAAACAAAACGAAAGTTTTAAATCTGACAACTGAAACGTGTTTTAATGAATAATTACAGATTTGTTTACTATTTCTTTTACGAAATAGGATCACGTCAATTACAAAATTGGATAACTGAGTACATGCCATATTCGTATCGACAAAAAGTCGATGCAGCAAACAACTACTAATTATTGGTTGTTTTTGAAGTCTTTTTTAGTCTTTTTGAAATCTGATATTTATTATAAATTATAATAAATAATAGACCTTAAAAAAGCTAAAGTGAATGATAGTATAGTAATAATAACAAATAGTAATAAAAAGTTCTAGTAAAAGTTTTTTAGTTACCGAGATATTGCTTGATAAAAATACTATTCAACATTTAAATATTAAATAATACCAAGATTATCATTTTTTGACCAAGCTCGGTATACTTCCTTTCTTTAACATACGACAGCGACAATGAAAGAAAAAGTTATGAATAATGAGTAAAACGCAAAATAAGTTAAATAATAGTAGATTGTTTAACAAGTAAAGAAAAGTGGTGGTTTACTATTGAGTGAAAACAAATTCATCTACGAACGTTAGCGAGTAAATTAAATTTTCACGAGGTTTTGGCCAATAAGAAATAAAAACAGGTTTGTGCTCACAAAACGTGAATGGGAAATGATTATTATTGGCCCTTGTATATAATTGGACCAATAAATTAACAAATGTGTCCAGCCAATCACCGATTATTCATAAAAAAACTGTTTAAATTCAATTCAAATTTGCTGTGAAAAAGACGCAAAAATAATGAATTTAAATTAATTTTTCCAATTAGTCACGAAAAATTAATGTTAGAGAAAGGACTATTTCGTCAATTTTTTTCTTAGTGAATTCCAAAAAAAATGCAGATTAAAGCTTTCATATGACTTTTAAAAATAATAAATTTAAATTTGTTTCCTCAATTGGCTTTGAAAAATTTATATCTTTTTCCCGTTTAGTACCGTGCGATCAAAAAAAAAAAAAAAATTAGAGTAGGCGGTGACTAAAGTCCTTCAGATGGCAATCCTGATTTTTGACATCAAATGTCAGCGGAAACTTTGACAAGTTTGCGTTTTATTCCTTTTGAGTGAAATAATGTTCACTTTAGAGCAGAAATTTTTTATTGCTGTACAAGAGGAAAACGGTGGATGGTCATTTTCACTTTTAGTTTGTGTGGAAAATTTCCAGCCCAGATTCCCAGCCAATGTGTTGCCAACTGTAGAATTTAATCGACGCCTACTCTAATTTATTTTATATTTGATCGCACGCTATAACAAAATCGCACACTTTTTGCATTGCATTCAGTTGGAAATAAAAAATTACTGTTACCGAGAAATTGACAATATTTGGACAATTTGTCGAAATTAACGCAGAAATGATGAGTGCATTTGGCAATAAAAATAAATCGTTTTAATGATAAAAAATAAGAACTATATTTTTAAATTTAAATTTGTTTTCCTCATTAACTTCGAAAAAACTAATTTAAAACAAATGTCCAGAGAAGTTTATAAACGTGTATTGAAAATGATGTAAATGACTTTGAACGGTTTTTTTTTGCATTTTTATCGGATTATCTCCGAAAAGAAAAATGGGTTTATTTAACTTATTTTGCATTTGACTCATTATTGATTACAACTTTTTTTGTTATCACTAGCAAATGTCAAATTAAGAAAGTCATTGTCTACCAATATACCGAGTTTGTTCAAAATAGTGATAATCTTGATATTATTTAACTAAAATTAAAAGTTGAATTTTTTTTCGCTATTCTATATTGCGCAAAAACTATTATACCCTAAGTTTATGCGTATGAAATTTTTGTGTACGCCCTGAAGTATCCAATTACAGTTAGTATTTCAATTATGCCTAAGCCGTCCACATATTGCATACGTGTATGTAATCGTAGCAAACACAAAATAATTTCGCCCACAACTCCTCCCACCACGATTTAATTTATTTACGTTCGAAAACCAGCTAAACCAAAAAAGCTTTCACCGCCACACACAAAGTGTTTTTGTCTGTCGCAAAGTGGTTTTTAAACGCAAAGCAAGGATGGTAGCAGATCGCTATGGCTTGTTAAAGTCATTTTGTATCGAATAGAAGGGGTGGATTTGAAATCGGTAGTCCCGCGAGGCGGTGAAACGGCCTCCAGTCGGGCGTAAAACGCACTTTTCGTGGAATTAAATCGAAACTGTTTTGCAGTCGGTTACACGGCTCAGGATGTCCTCTACAGGTGGAACACCGCCAGACAAGTGGCCATTGCAGAAGATATGAAACTGTCGCAGTTCGACCTCATCGCAACCCCTGCTGCCAATCACACCGACACCATCGTCAACAGCGATACCAAATCAGGTGTTCGCATTGATGTCAACTTTGATTTTAGTAAGAGATGCTGCGTATGCGGTCTTAAGTCTCAAAGCCCAAACTTGTTTGTATAATAGGATCAGAGCTTCTTAATTATAGTTTACGCTCGGCCTAAGCTAATTTGATCGGGTGATGAAGCTCCTGGACCGAGACACGAACCCAAACTAAACATTTTTGAAAATATTCAACCTCAACCAACCAATTCCATATCAATTTGTATAATTTTAGTCATATTATTAATAAAAAAATCGATCCGGTGGCCTACTTACGCCGATTGTGTTTTATTTTAATACTGACATTTTCAATGCACGGTAATACAATACGACTCTGAATAAATGTAGTTGTTGCTCATTGATTGACTTTATTATAATAAGGGGGAGTTTTTTAATATTCCTCACAAAACTTGCCAATTTCTGCACGTAAAAAAATTATTTCCACCAGATAAATCTTCAACAATATCAATATATTTTTATTAAAGCTTCTTTTTGACGTCACGTTATTTATGCACCAAGGGACGTAAATACAGGGTGATTTTGAATTAAATTTTGAAATAAATTCAATGGCTTTTAATATAGCATAAGCTAACAATTAAGAATTTTTCTAATTTCATAGTTTATTTTTGGACATATTCAATTTTATATTGGAACCCCTAGTTTTTTGATACTGGTATGTGCAATATGTTTCACTTTTATTAAAAATTATTATTAAAAAACATATGTAAGTTAAAAAAAATTATAAAAGTTGTAAGTAATGTAAAAGTGGGAAATGAAACAAAGTATTGCCAATATTTTTTCAAATTTGTAATAAGAAATGACAATAATAATTGCCTATAACAAATCAGAAAAACAACTAATTTAGTAATTTAGATTTATTTATTTATTTTATTATTTACTG